ACTTTTAAGACACAACATTATTTGTACTTGTTGTACATTCATTGTAGTAATAATAATAATAATAATAATAATAATAATAACAATAATTTATTATTATTATTATTATTATTATTATTACTAGACTGCATCATACAAGTAAGACGCACCTCCTCATTCTCTAAATGGCTTTGATTTAGCCCCGTAAGTCTGATGTCAACAGTGGAATGACAATACACACCAGATTTGCTGATAAATGATCAAAAATGATCAACTTCAATCAACAAATTGTTCCCTTTTTTCTCACCTGATCAAATGATGAGCCCAAATCTAATTCTGACACATTTACCAATTCTGAAGTATCATTTGATTGATTGCCTAGGACATTTTTGGGGTCAGTTGATTTCATTTGTCTTTGGACAATAGTGATCTGTGAGTTTGTATTAAGCATTGTGTTGCACAAGAAAAGGTGCAAAAAATGCATGATTATGGGATTTGGGGTTGTGGAGAGAACAGTGCATTCAGTTTTGAGTGAAAATGTAAAATGAGACATTTGCTGTAAGAAGCCCATTCAGGCATGGGGCAAAAGGCCCCAGAAATATTTAGTTTTTAGTTAATTCAGTACATTTTCTTCATAAAGTTACAAAGTTGTTTACTGAAGAGGTTCATATGAGTTTTTTGGGAGTACTTCTTACCCCAGGTCTTACATTTTTCAAAGATTATTTGTTTTTGTGCTATAAAAATAGAACCGTTCCAGCTTATTTTACTCCACTGGGTGAAGGTTGACACATCATCATCCTGTACATCCTACACTGATTTGGTTTAGCCTTACATCAAACGGACATTGTTCTTAAAGGGGGCATTCCACCCCCCCCTAAATTTTCCTCTGTTTAAATTGGACTAGATAGATAGGTATGTAGGTAGGTAGGTAGGTAGGTAGATAGATAGATAGATAGATAGATAGATAGATAGATAGATAGATAGATAGATACTTGATTGATCCCGAAGGAAATTTAGCAGCCTGTAGCACTCACACAACACAGGACAGTAAAAATAATAAGGCAAATTATAAGGCAAAATTAGAACTATAAAATTATAAAACTATAAGGCTAATTGCAAAAACATACAAATTAACAAAGGGATTAAAAGCATTAGAATGCCATTAGACTCTGAACACTATTTAAGCAAAAACAAGAACCAAACTGTAATAAAAAAATAGTTGAAGTTTCAGTGAAAGAGCTGGAAAAATGGGAGTTTCTGCAGACTTGATCTACATCAGACAAGCCTCCTTTATAGAGACACACTGTACACAAAGTCTGAGATACTAACATTTTCAGACCATGGTCCCACCCAGACAGGTTTGTCATTTGACATTTGACACTGTAACTAGTATTAAAGTTGATTCTCAGTTTTGACCTTTGTGTCACTCAAGAGAATCTGCCCTGTACACATTACCTCCTAACACACACACAAACAAGCCCTGAGGACAGACAGACAGGGTAGGGCCTTCACAACATACTTCATTCAGCTTCTTCTCTGAAAGTTCGTATAAAAGAAAACAGCAAGACAGTATCAACGTAAAAAATGTTTGGAGTAAGACCAATTTGGTTGCAGATAAATGTACAAATTGATTCTAATACATTAGAGCAACTACACAGGTTTCAAATTATAAAAAGCTGAAAAAAGGATAGAAAAAAAGAGAAGATTAACTTAAAATTTCAAGTTGACCTGACTTTTATTGTTTTATAGTGTATGACACAAACTATGAGGGGTGCACAATTATAAAATCATTTGTAAAATCATTTTCTGCAGATTTCAAGCAAAGGCTGGATGTATAACTTACCTGCCACTGTCCTTTCTACTGCACCCACCTGTTCATCTGTGGACACAAGTCAAGCTAATGTCAAAATCTTTTTACAATACTACAGTTATGCATATTAGCACTTACATATGTCAGGTTTTATTGACATAAATGCATAAACAAAAACACACCCTCCTTTATTTGAAGTTCCATCCTATTATTAAGGGATAGAAGGTCTATTCTGATCCATGAGAGTAATGAAAAAGCTCAGAGATGAGCTAGTTGAATACATTTTAGAGACATACTTAGCCAGTCTTTCTTTACACAGTGCATTCTGTGAAACATTCCAGCTAACATATGTAATGTGCTTTTGCAACACATGTAATGTGTAACAATTTATGATGAACAGACCAATAGAAATGCTCCATACATTTCTCCAACACTTTAGAAAGACATGATATAGGAGAAACCTGCACTGGCAAGACAGGGAGAATGTTAATATGAGGAAGATGCAGGTGTGCAGCACTGTGATGATGATGATTACTTGGTAACTGAACTGCTGGATTTCATTCCAACCACAAACCAGCTAAAGGCTACTAGTAGCTGCAATAGTTTTAGGTATGCAAAAGGCATTAACTACTGGGTTTAGGGGGACCCATGGCACGGGAGGCTCTTGCAATCAGGCCCCTTAAAATCTTTATTGGGCACCTCATAAGGACAAAAAAACAAACCTCACCAGTTAGGTTCCTTCAACACAGAAACACATCTATTTACCCCCTTTATTTATTCACAATACAGCTCATCCTTGGTGTCTCCAAAGGCATCCTTCACAACCTGCAACATGGTACTGTGGCATCGGCGAAGAAGAAGACATAGGAAACACAGAGCTTTAAGCGAATGCTCTTTAATTGAACAGCAGCAGCGCTGCTGAAATGGTCATGACAGCAGGTAAGTCACTTCTAACCATACATGGCCCACTCACAGTAGAAGGTAAAACCACACAAAATACCCCACAGCCCTACACAGATTAACACAAATAACACACACACATCTTAGACAAATAGCCTCCCAAGAGGCTCTGCACATCAACAGCCATGCAAGCCAGTAGTGGGACATCACAATATATTAATAATTTACAATATTAACATCCTAAATAATAACCTAACGTGAACAATTTGGTTAAACTTGGGTGCTAGTGGGTGGACTGACAAGCCTTGAGAGCAACTTGCACTTGTTTGAGATCTAACAATAGTGAGTAAACAAATAAATTACTTTACAAAAAGTAATTTTTCTATAGGGGGCCATTCATTTTTTTGCACTGGGGCCCAGAGCACCCATGTTGCACAACTCTACTTGGGCTTGGTCAATGCACAGTAGGTCAGTTTTGATGCTCTATAGTAAACCAAAAAGGAAAGATCATTAGCAAGTTATCATTTGTTCCATTAAGCCTACAATTTAGATAGACTTAGAAGAACTTCCCACTCTCACTCGGTTTCTGTTGGGAGTCATGGTTGTTTTGTTGGTGTCGTAATCCCAGCACAGATGTAAGGTGCCCAAACATCAGCCTCCTCACTCCAGCAGGTGTCTGCTTGTCTGGTATGCTGGCGTAAACACAAGCCATAATTAAAATTCCTTTCTCGAACTGACAGCTTTGCTGCACAATCATTCTAGGGCGTTACCTTCCTCCAATTAAAACAGAGTGACCACAGAAGACCACTCCCTCCCAAAGTGTACACTTTTCACATGATTCACGTCTTCCAGATTTAAGTTACTGAGCAGATCCAAATGTATTTGGACACATTTTTGTGCTTTTGGCAGCGCACTTTAATACACTGGGCTTTAAATGAGACAATGATTGCCGAGGTTAATGTACAAAGTGTTTGTCACATTATTTAAACTCATATCCCTAACTTTTCCTTATATCACATGACCCATTTAGAATTCAGCACCTTATTACAGGCCTAATACTTTAGCATTATGACACATTTGAACTAGAAGCAATCACATGACCTACTCTGTCTATGTACTGCATGCTTCAGTTTGCAATTATAGAATGGGAAATAAACATTTGTTCTTATCAAGCACAAGGTTTATACAAACCTTTCACTGTCTATTATATAAGCAATCCACCAATCATTGTGATGATTATTTAGAGTTTTAACCTAGAAATAAGGGCAAACAATAACTGAAAAAATGACTTACCTTAACACTAAAGCATGCCTTTCAAATATTCCAAAAAACCTTTTTGGGAAAAAAATTAGGAAGCCTTACAAAGACTTTTAAAAAATGAGTGTGTCAGTCAGGCTCTGTTCCATACTCTAAGAGAGACCAGCAAGAGAATTTAACATATCTTTACTGTCCAAAAATGATGAATGGAACAATAATGCTGCTCCAAAATGACTCTTTTCATTAACTTACATACTTACATCAAAAGTAATGATTTTTTTTTCTCTACTGTAGCTACCAATATGAAGCTCAAAAAAAACTGTCTAATAACACTTAAGGGCATTAGATGGGCTTCAATGCAATGTAGCCAGTGCATCTTATCAAACAAAGAACATAGTTCTGGAATCTGGGAAAATCTGGGATATTTTTCATTTAAACTTGAAAATAAACAGCAGAAAGGTTTAAAAATTTTTTGAAAAAATTTAAATACAGAAAAGTCATGACAAGTCAAATGAAGAAAAAATATTCAAGCTCTTGTATTATATCTAGATCACTACTCAAATTTAAGTTAATTTGTGACACTGACCATGTTAAGGCCTTTGTAGAAAAAGGTCAGACTGCACCTTTGACACTTAATTTTTCCGCTAAAGCTCGTGTTCAGACGATATCATGGTGGATTTGATCAGAGGCTTTTGCACAAACTTGTGGAGTCCATCCCTGCTCAAGAGCATGCTGTAATTAAAACAAAGGGGGGACATACCACCAAATACTAAACAAATTTAAAATTCATGGTAAAAAAAATTAAAAGATTATACATTTTGTAATGAAAAACTTTGTATTGAATTGGATAGGAATGCAAATAGAAGTACTTTCATTAGCGGTCCCGGACTTTTGGACCCCACTGTATCTTTGTTTCACTCATTTCTGGCAATAATCCACATGATCTCCAAACATCTCCATTCATCTGGATGAGCTGTATCCAACCTTAAGGCTCTCATCAGCTTCTCTCTTCACTTGCTCAACCACCTGTACCTGTCTATACCTGTTTATCTACTCCAGGGTGTGGCTGCATCATAAATTCACACAGAGCGGAGCATTCCCTCAGAGGTAGACTTGTCGAGGCATCAGGTAAGACACGCTACACTAACTCTGAGCTTTGACAGGTAATCACTCTACAGGGAGATTTTTAAAGATAATGTTTATTGGTGATTGGTATTATTTTGAGATATCTGGTTATTGGTGATGTACTATGCAAACTGAAGAATTAAGTGCCTGTATTAAGTGTGTGATAACAGAACAGTGCAAAGAGATGCATGACTTTAAACAGTGTTGATGAGTTGCTGGTCTGTTTCATCGTGCAGTGTCGATCCTGTTAAACCTGAGAGCTTCACGATGAGTGACCCAAAACCAGGTAAGCAATTTTTATAATGCTTTATATGTTCAGCAACCGTTCATGAATATTTGAGCTTTTACACAAATGGTTCAAAATTGATTTTCTGCACTTTTATTTTCTTTTACATGAACAGACGCAAAGCCAGAGGTAACGTTGCAAGTCCCTTTCTTAGACATATAGATGTATAACAAACATCACTGCTAATGATGTGTCCATTACCACCTTATTTGCTAATCATATATGCATAACAAACTTTACTGATAATGATTGCTATTGATGTGTGATAACAAACGTTACCATAACAAATGTTATTATTAACACTATTTATTTTGAGCAAGAAAAGTTATCATTCATGTGTATGACTGCTGCAGGCAGGGAAGCCAGGAGGAAAGGGAGAGGGATGCCCCGGAGAAAAGGGGAAAGGCAAAGGCAATGACGGCCATGGACACGGACATGGACATGGACATGGTCAAGGCCAAGGCCAGGGTCACGCACATGGCAAAGACCACGGAGAACACGGCAAAGCAAAAGGAGGAAAGTAACGCTGCTGAACGCCTCTGAAGTCCTGATGGGAGCTACTTGTTTTTTCACACTTGAACATATGTAATGGAAAATTAAACAGAATTAAAGTAATGAAATCAAAAAATATAATTACTCAATCACTATGTATTTGTCTTCATTTTGTAGAAAATATCTCTAAAGAATGGCTTTGGGCTTGAAGAATGCCTTCAATGCATTCGAATGCACAAAACTAAGGTTAGAACGTCAACATTGTGCAGCAGAATGGGTGTGGGCAGAACATGGTGGGTGTGTCAAGGTGAAGCCTGTACATAATGGAGCTGTATGTAATGGAGCTTTACCGATTTTAATGATGTAGAGGTTCAATAAACGGGCTAATCAACAATTGTGTTGTGAAATTATTTCAATTTGTATGAGCAGGCATACACTTTAATCAGTACTTGAAAGGCCCATATCTTACATTTTCTTGTGTTTAATTTTTCCCCTGAGGTCCATTTATAACATTTGTGTATGTTTCTGCATCAAAAACATAATTGATTTTTCCAACCTCAAATAATCTCTTTATATTTTTTTTTAAGGGAAAAAAATTACATTACATCAATGTTTTATCCTAATTATTATGTGAAACATTGAATAAAAATCATTCTATTCATAGTTTTTGATTGTATTTTCTAAATGTGGTAGGATAGGATCTTTTGTGTTCCAACTTATGAAAAAAACTATCAACAAATAAATAAATATCATGATAAGTAACATATTGTAAAAATGTCTTTAAGTATCATGATATATCATATATATTGATCACCACTATGTATAAGTGCTTTCTAAAAAATTTCAGTATATTAAAATATTGCAATGATACCAAGAAAGCCTTACCAAAATTCCCTGTTTTATCCTATATTCTTTTTATTCTTGAAACTTGTTCCAGCCACAGTCCGGCATACCTGACTTAGTATCCATATGGTCCTGTGCCTACAGCACAGTGTTTGGCCTACCAACTGTGAGTAATTAGCAGTGGTTAACATGGTGGTTTAGCAAAACCTCAGATTAACCATAGAACTAATTTAATCCCATATAAATTTATCAGTTTAAATTTAAATTAAACTTCATCAGAGAAGTCACTCCAATCTTATAAAGTCACAGCAGGTGATATCGTTATTCCTGATTTTATGACTTCAATTAACATACTACAACAAGGAAAATAGCAGCGCAGTGCTGCAGGCTCCCCAGAGCTCAGTTCGTCTGATATACAGAAACCTGCTAATCTTCTGAAAGACTGAGCCAGCACAGCTCTCAAAAATCCAACAAAATGTTACAAAGGCTGTGAGAACCCATACCGGAATGGGCGATCTTGCAGGTTCAAACATACTATTGCAAAAGGTTTGGCCTGCTTTAACAAAACTGGGGCCTGGAAACAAAAGCCACTTGTCTAATCTTGAATGGAGCTGCATTAAAGAGATTCAGTGTTTTGATCATAATGAAGATAGATGAATGCAGTCTGATCATGTTCTTCCTATATACTTCAAGAGCAAGAAAACAACAGAAAGACTATAAAACTCCCATCACTGCTTTCAGATATGAAACTCAGCATAACAAAGACAATGACAAATCTCTTTCCAAACTGAGTTTATTAGTTAATGAATTTAACCATCAGCTTTGTAGGTTTTGGCAGGAATGTCTGGCTTGAGCTCCTGGCTCGTCTGGGACACAGTAGAGCCTTTTGCGTCACAACTGTTAGGTGCATTTGCACATGTGGGCTTCTCTATACATGTACATGATATGTTTAGTTGTATAAATTCACGCCCATACACACACATACACACACATACACACACACATGCACATACACGCAGGAGTGCATCTAGAACATTCTGCCCTCTGGTGGTCATCCATAATATTGTTACTTTTCTAGCTACTCTGTTCTTATTTTCTTATCAAAATGTTGAATAACTCTGTACGACAGAGAAAGAAATATGGGTCAAGGACTGCTGGGCTGTAGGGTCAGAGAAAGTGTAGTGTGGAGAATTGCCATTCAGTAACGTCTTCCAGACTTGTCAAATACTACAGGGCACTCCCAAGCGAGGGGCATTTGAGCAAAATCATAGTTTGTATAATTTGAAACATTTTTATATAAAATAATTAATTAATTTCCTGAACAACAGCACACAAAATTTTGACACTGCTGTTATATTTTCTAACACTTTTGAACTCGTTATAGGACTTTACTTATTTATTTATTTATTTTATTTTTTGTGTTAACATTGTAAGAGTTTATAATGGTGCGTCATATACGTTCATAACGTCAGTGAGCGCGAATCGCTTCACTCAGCCAATGAGCTGCTCCGCTCACCAACCAATCGGCTCTCGGTAACAATAACAGTAACGCTATCTACTGCACAAAAAAACTTTTCTGTAAAAAAAAATATTGGTAAGTTTCCTTTGTTTTTTGGTGAAGTACTCCTTATACGTTCCAAAATTAAAGGAAGGCCCTGGATAAGTGGTCAGAAATGATTTTAATGTTTCACTTTTTGCCATTTCTCGCCATTTACTCCTATTTGTTGAGGACTCGCGCGCATGCGCACATTATAGCGTTTAGCAGTCATGCTTTTGATCCAACGGGAGAACCAGGAAGTGGTTGGGCTCTGGTAGGGCGTACAATTTCTTTTTTTGTCATTCAGTGAGGTGTTCAAGAGCACTCGCCAAGTGCCCTTAGTGTGGCCTTTGGCTGCCTATGCAGTGAAATAGCTGCACGCAATCCATGTTTTGAGTTGCCTGCAACATAATTTCCATGCAACTCGAGTTACAAGGCAAGTCAAAGACAATCAAAACTGCATTGTTGATACTTTGTTGATACACCCTGTGGTTCTCCCTCCGTGAGGTGTAATTTACAAATTTGCAGCATTTTTTTCATCTTTCATCTTGTTTTCTAAAGCTGTTTTGACGTCTTTTATCTATCTAAGGTTCTCTACTATATATTTGAGTTTTATTTATCTGTTGTGTGTAATCAGCAGGTTACAGATATTAGCATACAGATACTCCTATTTGTTATTATGGCTCAGGAAACTGAAAAATGAGCATGGCTGATTTCATAATCTTGCCAGGCCTGCAGGTCTGCACATTGGTGACCACAGGGCTCAACACTCCGAATTCAACTCGAGAAGGTCTAATTAGTTGGTGTATCAGAGGTGTTTACCACACTAAACAGTAAACAGACTCCCAGGACAGGAGTCTGACCGTGCGTCATATGTTTACTTTCTGGACCTGAATTTTACACGTGTAACACAGACACGGCTTTTCTAGTGTGGAACCTTTTTCATTTTTACAGCTAGAGGTACAACTTTTCAAACTCAACATTCGTAAGAATCTCCTTGTTGCAGTCACGACAATAACGACTTTGACTGTTTTCTTTTAGTAGAGCCTTCATGTTAAAATCTGACGTAATAAAAGCTTTCTTTAAAAGAGTTCGAGGAAGCAGCATTCCAAGTTTTTTTATCTTCACCGAAACTGCTGCCAAAAAAAGAAACAGCCCACATGAGAGTACGACTATAATAAAAGCATGAGAATGGTAGTGTAGGTGTGGCACCACATAGTAAGAAAGTCTTTTAAGGCTATGGCCAGTACCAAAGGTAATAAAGATTTTATTAAATGAACAAGACATACTTGTCAGTTTCAGGTTGAATGATCTTATAAAAGAAGATTAAACAAAAGGCAACAGATGGAAACAGACTTTTTTTTTTGGCATGTCATGTCAAAATTTCCAGCATAATCATAAACATCAGTTATCAGATGTCACAGTATTAGAGTACATCGCTGACAGCTGCTGATCCCGTCCAGTCTGTTTGAATAAAATGATGTAATATTGAACATCCACAGCTACCTGCAGTGTCTACATCCCAGACAGGCCTACTTAGTCTCACTCCATTGTTATGTTACATACCAATTGCCAAGACATACCACAGAAAGACCAAGCATGAGCCTGAATACATGAAGCAGACTGAAGCAGACCAGACCAGGACCGTCAGCAATAGAGTATGAATCATACTTAAGACAAAAATAGTCGATACAGTAAACAACTAATTTCATTTTTACAATTTAATAAATCTAGAACAACTTTCCAAATCACAGTATTTAGAAGAATGTATGTTACACAGCCTCTAATAGCAACAGCTGGGGGTTATTTTCAGAGCATTTTTTATGATATCACAATCAATCTGAAAAAGACTGCCCCAGCAGGCTTGAATATAAAAGTGATTCACATTTTTCTAATCTTTCACAGCTCTGCAGTGTCCTTATTGCCACTGCTAAGACATAGAAAGGCACACTTTTTTTAACAGCTAGAAAATGATTGCCTTTCATATTTTAATAACAGCACTGGAAACATCCTGAAATGTCAATCTATAGAGTTAACAAGAGAATTCATTCATTTACACTTTGAATGCAACAGGTGTAGTGTGATGTTAGAGGCACTCTACAAAGTTTCACAGAAAAAAGGCAAAAGAGGGACTTTCCAACCATTTCATGTTTACTACAGGTAGTTTCCAGAGGAAACTATGTGGACCTGCAGGTTGCTAAGGTGGCTATTGTGAGGACGTACTGCCGTAGGCTATTTCTACAATATTAAAGAGGAAGAGTGCCAACATAACAACATCTGTTAATAAAAACAGGTCCTAAATTTGCACTCTTGTGTTCTATGAACATAACCACAGCTTTACTCATGCTCTTGTGCAATTTCAAGCACATAGCCAGGGGTGTTATTTGTACTATTACTTGTGTAATGGAATTTAAGAAAAATCATGCTTCAGACTTGCAAAATAGACAAAACTACGTGCATCACCATAAACGGAAATCATAAAGGTGTAAGGTGCAGTTTCTATGTCTATTTTAAACCACCGTTCTTCTTGAAGCTTATAACAGTAACACCTAACAACAGGAGACAGCTCTTATGACAACTAAGAAGACCATCTTAAAACTATGCAAGAGTTTTATTAGAACAGTACATCTCCCTAATTTGATGGGGGGAAAAAAAAAAACATCCAGTACAGGTTCGGTATGGCTCTCCTCTAGAAGAGTCCGATGACTTCTCCAGTCACTGGGTCTAGATCAATGTCATAGAAACAGGGACGTGTTGGTAGGCCTGGTATAGTCGGCATCTGTATTGAAAAAAGATTAAAGTGAAAATTTTGCAATTTCCATTCATTAATAAATGATTATACTATGTTTTCTATGTGAAATTCTCTGTTCATGCATTAGTAAATATGATATAAACAATTAGCAATGTCTTCATTTCTGTAAACAAAGGCAAATGCATGAATGCATGTAATGCAGAGCAAGAGAAACATCTTTTGTCCTTTTTGTTCCACATCTGTCTGCTGCTTATTGTAATGC